TCCACCACCAAAAGCATTAAAACGTCGTCCACAGTAGTGAAAATGATCGGAAACAAATAATCACATTGTATAAGAACTATCGAAACGAGGAATAAGGATTCGGCAGTAACCGATACACAATCAAAAAGTATAGGAAATTGATGTTTATTAATCTATTCACTGTAATAATAAAGAATCTGTCCTTTTGGTTTTCATTTTGATTACCAAAAGGATATTCATTGCATGCTCCAAGGAAGAATACATTTCTGAACTCCAATTCAAGAATAAAATCGATGCTGATGGCGGGGCCAGGCCGAATAACTGGATGGAGAAAATCTTCAAGCAGCATGACATTCGTTTTGAATAAATTTAAGAGTGCATTAACCGTTCCACGACCAATTTCACAACTGCGGGACAGCGACCGCCACCTTGACCGAGGGTTTAACAGACCATTCAGTGACTTACTTTGAACCTGGTTTTTGTTGTGAAAGTGCAAATTTTTTAGTACAGGACGGCAAAAAAGAGAAATTTTTGCTTGATATAATAGATTGATTGCATGAAAACCATTAAAGAGGGTGCCCCAAACAACCCCCAAAGATTTAACAATAGTGACTGGAATCATGAAATATATGTTAAGTTCAGGGTGCGTTTGATTCCATTTATTTTTCTCGAAAAATGTCAGTTTTCCAACCAAATTCTTATTTTGAAGTGTTTGACCGTTATTTTTTCATAGAAAATATTTTCCAACTTTTAAAAATATGCCTAATTTTCCTTTTTTTTAAGGAAAACATTTTCTTTGAGGGGAGCAGATTTTTGTTCTCTTTCTTTTCTATGATATATTTTCCATGCCAATCAAATACAATCTTAGAGTTTATGTATAATCATTTTCCTAGGACAATGTGAGCAATATTTTACTTTCACTAGTATTAATTAAACAAAAAAATATGGGTCAAAACCCTTTTCATAAACTTCTAAAAGTAAGGCTACAAAGTGAGAAAACATTGACCCCACGGAAAAATAAAGACACTACTCTGCAGGAAAGTAGGGAGTTACCCTAAAATAAGAGAGCATTTAATATTTTTATCTGAGTCTAAACTTTATGGAGTTAAAATTGTTGGTCATGTCTAATTCTCCATTATTACGTACAAATAATATCTGAAAAATGAAATCAGTTTTGCAATAACTGAAAAGAAACAATGAACTCAAACAATGTTATAAAACCATTTGCATATTAGCAGTGGAATACTTAAGTAAAAGATATTATAAATGGGTATGACCAGAACTTCTACCTTTACTGTTTGTTATAGAACACTGATGCCTGTAGTCTGGACTCGGACAGCACCTTCTGCACAGGTGATCAGCGAAGGATTAACAGTAGCAAGAAGGGCTGTGGGGTCGTGAAGGTAAACACCTGCATTGAAAAAATAATAAGTCCCAACTAACATCAGCAGTCATTTTCACGATATCTAGCCATTGCTCTAGTTCCAGTTCAGAACAAACCTTTTGTGCTTTATGCATCATGATGATTGGAAAAATACACGTCTAAAATTTTGTTTAGATACTGAGCAAACTTTCGACTTGATTCTGCTAGTTTATATCTATCAGCATCTACAAAAGAAATGGGTAAAATTCAGATTCATATGCCAAATTAAAATTTATGAAAAATAAGGTCGCATAAATGTTTTGATGGTTTCGCAAATGTAGAGCATGAAACCAATCTTTGCGGTTCTGCCTAGCCAAGAAACGGAAGAGGCAGAAACTGAAGGAATTACAAATTTCTGTTCCTCAAGGCTTCATTTGATTGTTAGGAAAATAATGCAACAGGTATTTCACAAGAAGATTACATTATTGTGAAAGAAATGTCGGTGCACATAAAACAAACAGTATAAATTAATGTCCGAGTTATGATATATATCAT